CCTCCTCTGCCCTTTTTTAAAAATAATTAAACTCTGTTTATCTCAGTGCACAAGTTTTCCCACTTCCACCCTTCTCATTCTACTCCTGATCCTGTTGGGGAGAAGGGGGAGAAAGTGAGTGAGCAGCTCTGTGCTGCTGAGCTGCCTACCAGAGTTAAACCATGACATGCTGTGCATTAATACATGAGCTCATGTGGGTTTGTTTTAGAAATCAAGTAAACTTTAGGTTCTGAGTGTAGCTTTTCTCTTTTTTTTTTTTTTAATTAGATTGTTAACTTTGGACCTATTTTATAATAAATAGTTGCAATAGTAAAAACCCAACAGAGAACTCACTGCCTCAGGCAAAGGAGACAGAGTTACAGTTCATGCTAATCTGCCCGAAAGTGGGCAATACACAGTACTTGATCCTCGAATCTGCTTCTGAACTAGACTGACAGCTTCTAATTTTTTTCACCTATGGGTCACATTGCAGTATATCTTTTCTCCAGACTTTGAGGAAGAGTGTGAAGGAATTTCAAGACGTGGAAAGGTTTAGTATGTTAGCTGAGGTTGGTTAAGAAGGGATTTCATTAGTGAACATTAATTCAGGCAGTGCGTATTTACATTTGGCTGAAACCTTTTGTTTATGCATCTAGTGACAACAGGCACAGGAACTTTTAAGCTACAAATAAATATACGCATGCCATTTTGTGGATGGCAAGTTAAATCCTAAGGACCAACATGGCAGCTGGCCAACTGGTAATCACGCTGAGCCTTCAGAATTATCCCTGACATTTATGCACAAAGCAGGTAGATGAGGCTTGCCAGGCAGGAGCTAGCAAACGAAAAGTACAGTGAACAAATGTGATACCGGGGGGGGGGGGGCAGAATTTTAAACTGTGAAGGGAAAGCTGTGATTCCAGGGCATAATTTTCACTGTAGCTTGTAGCAGTGGCAGTGGAGAAAAAATCCAGACATGAAAAGCCTAGAACAACCCCTTAATCTTCTTTGTGCCTGTCCTGTGTGACAAGTCACCCTTTGAAATCAGAAGAGATAGTCTAGGAAAGGAAAATCTGAGCATAAAGAGACTGGGCAATGCTTAGAGGTAAGGAGAAGTCAGAACAAAGAAGGTTTCTACTTAAGATGCTGCACTGTGATTCAGAGGAACTAAATTTTCTTCCTGCATCTTTCCTCCTTTTCCTCTGGCAAGTTACTTTATCACTCCAAATCTCAGTTCCCCAACTGAATAATGAGGCAGTAATATTAAACAGTATGTTTCTTTTCATACATGAGAGCATTTGTTTGTTTGTTTGTTTGCTTAAAACTGGAATAATTTTACAGACTGTAGGAGGAAATGGTAAGAGAAATAGTTGAAAAAGCAAAGTAGAGGGCGCAAAAGAGAAGGAGTTGTGGCAAAGGCTGAGGGTAGGAATCTTTTACCCTGGATCAACAAGATCAGACATAACAATTTATGAACACATGAAAATAGTTTAATCAGAGAAAATGCCTAGTACAATTAGGACCCAAACTAAATAGAGACATTTAAGTACTGTTGTTATTGGATAATACTAATAATGAGAGATGAGCTGCCTGTAAGGTGTTATTTGTGTGAAGATAGCCTGAACTGTATTAGCTGGCAATTCATTGACAATTGCAGCTGTGCAAAACCAGACTGATGTTACTCAAGTCTTTTGCTCAGTACCACAGGGAAAGCTATGAGAAAAACAGATGTTCAGTGGGGTCAAAGTTAAAAAGGCAACATGTCACAAAAAAGGGTTTCAGAAATATGACCTGAGAAGAGTGACAGAAGATAATGCTGCAGGAGGGTAGATAGCTTTGTTGACCTCATTTTTCAACAGATCTCAGCTAGCTTCAGCTGCTGTCCTGTATGCATAACACACATGAAATCTGAGGCTGGCTTACATAAAAACTTCAGAGGCTTCTGTAGGAGCCAACAGCAGCATTACAGCTTGTAAATGTATTTACAGTATAATATTGTTACTTCACATAACATAAATGTGATGAATTCTGCATAGAGAGAAAACAAATCTCTGTCTTTTATAAACTGCTTTACTAGCATTATTTACACATCATACAAAAATAAGGCTTTTCTGTTAAACCAGGGATAAAGAAGCAGAATGAGGCAAAAATATCACATATGCAACACTGTCCTTTCTACAATTTGCAGTCTTTATGAATGACGTAGAGAAGGCTGAGATAATCCTATAATGTTTCTGTGTTTCTCATCTTTATTTTAGGGAAAATAACAAAACTGTGTGCTTGGTTATCATACACATAAAAAAGCAAAGTCATTTTTTAATTCACATGTTTTTCTTGTTCTGAATATAGCTGTAGGGCTGAATCCCTGTTAGGGAATTCTGTACAATTACAGTCAGGTGACAACACTATGCACCTTCCATTTTTCTAAGTATTTCTCCAGTCTTTCAGAAGGTAGAAAGGAATTAAGTACACTTTCTAAATACTGGGATTATAATTTCTTCCTGTAAATTACATTATGTAGATTTCATATTACAGTAAGTGCTGAAGACCTTGGCCAAAATGACTTTTTGTGCTAAACAGTCTATGCATGTTTATTGACACAGAGATCCTGCACTTGAGCACACAGAATTGTGACAGGCAATAGGTGTGTTAATACCAACTTGTTTGGGAGTGGAGAGGTAGCGTGGTGAGATCAAATTATTTACTGAGATCATAGAGCTATGGAAACTAAGCTTAGATCTTCAGGAAGTCTAACAAGATGAATATTACTCTTCTGTTCAAAGCAATTAGCTTGAAACACAAGACCAATACCTCATTAGAAGTCTCCCTTGTAGGGAGAAAATTAATTTTCTTCTTCACTCAGACACTTATGTGACAGAACACTCAGGTGACACCTTATACGGTGACACCTAATGATCAGTGGAGTCATTAAATGCTTTAAATACTCAGCCACAGATGTAGACTCATCCAGTCCAGATGTTTGAGAACTAAAGCCACAGATGAGTATCTAATTGCTTTTCCTCAGCACTGCCTCTAGTACCCTAACAATTTTGAGGTTGTTGGAAGAAACCCGAGAAAAAATTATGGCATGTGCTGCATTTTTGGAGGTGCTGCACTCCTGCAGCTCCTGTTGACTTCCCTGAGGCTGAGGTAAGGCAGCTCTGCAGAGAAGCAAAACCATTGTACCTGCTTGAACAGAGCTCCAGATCCTCTTCGGGCATCACTGCTGACTTCAAAGGAGGCTGAGGATCTGACCACAAAGAAAACAGAGCCAGTACATACACCAATTGTTTCACTGCAGCCACCAAATGTATTTCTGTGCAACTTACCCTGTTCCCCATAACCTGTCACATTCAGCAAGAAAAGCTATGGAGGAAAGATGGATATAGTAAATCAGGCTATTGTATTATTTGAAAATAATCTTCTCCACAGGGAATATAGGCTAGGGACTTTTAAGAAGATGGGACTTCAGAGCTGACAAGTGTATTTAGCGTGTCAATGTGGTAATGAAGTTAGTTCTGCACTGTTTGGAAAATAGCAAATTTCCTTGCAAGGTTTGTGATTAAACAGCTAACAGAAAATAATGATTTCCTTGCAGGCACTTTGGCACCAAATACAAAGACACAGAGGGAGAGCCAACCAGAGGAAGAACCTGCTAAATATCACTACTGAAAGCCACTATTATTGTAGAGTCCTCATAATAGTCACTGTTAATTACAAAAACAAGTATCTATAACATTGAAGTACCCAGTGGGAGAAAGTATGACATTTAACTCACAGAATTCCTTCTCCCTTCAATCCTTTTACACACACACACACAAAAAGTGCTTATTTTGTAGAAACATCAGTTGGAGAGAGATGATAGAATATTGATTTGCATGTGTATCTTCTTATTGAGAAGGAACAACAAATTAGTTAAATTACATAGGAGAAAGGAGATTTTGCTGCATATAAGCAAAGATTTCTATAATGAAATTGCATAAGCAGAAGAACAATGTTTGCTTACCTGGGGATGGAGTGGGACAGCAAGTATTTCTGCACATTACTGTGAGTGTGGGGAATTGTACCTTACCTGAGCCAGTGGGAAATGTTTGTTATGTTGAGCAGAGAGTCACATTCGTGCTACTTCTGCCTACACAAAATACTAGATAAAATGGGAAACATATGAGCAAACTGAGTATATTTGGAAGAAATCGGGGGGCGGGGGGGGGGGGGGGCTATCCTTAACTTCTTGAAGGAACTGGTTGCTTCTTTCTGTGCCATTTTACTCTTCTTTTTTCATAATTTCTCTCCTTCTATGTTAATTTATATTTTGGTGAGAGGAAATCTGGGGAGTGGACAAAACCAATTCCTTAATTTTGTGGGTTTTTTTTTCTCCTTCAGATTTATTTTATTTTCTGAGAAAAATTAGAGAGGAGAGGAAAGAAGATGGAGAGAGCAGAGGAAAAGAGATAAAGGGAGGGGAAAGGAGAAGAGCAAAGAAGAGAGGAGAGGAAAAAGCAAAGGGAAGAGAGGGAAAGGAAAGGGAAAGAATGGAAAAGGAAGGGGAAAGGGAAAGGTGAAAGGGAAAGGGAAAGAAGGGAAAAGGAAGGGGAAAGGGAAAGAAGGGAAAAGGAAGGGGAAGGGAAAGGGAAAGGACAAGGGAAAGGGAAAAAGGGGAAAATGAAGGGGAAAGGAAAATTGAAAGGGAAGTGGAAAGGGAAAGGGAAGGGGAAAGGGAAATGGAAAGGGAAAGGGGAAAGAAAAGGGAAAGAGAAAGGAAATAAATGAAAAAAAACCTACAGCAAGTGAACAGGATTCCTACAATATCTTCTCACTGACTGGCATGGAACTAGGTACAAATACTGGTAGCACAACTGAGAATGCTGCACATCCTCCTTCTGTGAGATTAGAATGTCAAATTCTAAGTTGCCTTAGTCTGTATTTTCAAATAATGACTTCTGAATTTGGTCTTTCTTAAAAACAAAGCAGCATGAATTCTCCTATTTGAAAAATAATATAGATAAAAAAGGATAATCTGATTCAATAAAAAAGATGTGAATATTTAATTTGTTAGACTTCTCTCTAGAGAATAGAGCAGCTTCTTTTTAAATACACATTGGTTTACTCACAGTTACTGTGGGTAGGTATTTTTGCCAATCAAACACAACAGGTATATATTGTGGAACAACTTCAGGAGGAGTTGAGGCAACTCAATAAAAACAAATAGGTTGCCACACTTAGGCAAGAATAATAAACTGCAAAAACATAAGGTGAGGAATGCCAAGCTATGTAAGAACATCACAGAAAAAGATTTGGATATTAACATAGATCATAGGCTGAACAGGAGTAAACAATGTTACACTCCTGTAAAAAAGGCAAACCCTTATTGCAATTTATAGACAGTGTTACCACCTACAAAACCATTAAGTAATTCTTCAGCTCTCCTTGAAGCTCTCTGTGCTACAGATGGGATGCTGTGTCCAATTCTGAATACTCAAGGATGGTATGGTCCTACTGGGAAAAAAACAGAGGAAGACAACAATTATCAGGCTTCATAAAGTATACTTATAAAGAAAAGCTAAAGGAATTGCGTTTATACTGAAATTCACTTAAACAGCTAAACTTCAGAGAAAACTAAGAGGTAAAACAATAGCTGTTTTCAAATACAGAAAATGTAGTTTCAGTGAGAGGAACAATCAGTTCTCTGTGTCTGTTGCGGACAGGACAGAAACATTTTGCTCTCACAACTGCTTATCTCTACTGAAGTGCTGTCCTGAAATTCACGTTACCCAACTATCACTAAATACAGTCTTTGCACGACTAACATTTTCCTGGTGCATTAAAAATACACCTAAGAAATACAAGTTGGGAAAAGCATGGGAGAATTGGAGAAAAGGAGAAAAATTCCTCCTTATGATCGTAGATTGCTTTCCTCTGAAGCAGCTACTGTGTTGAAACTGCTTTCAAAAAACCTTCCCCTCACCTCTGTGCTGAATGAAGCTACAGAAAAACCTGGCACAAGCTTGATTTGAAATAAGATAACTCCCATTTTGGAATGGACTGTGTGATGAAGATACAGTCATAAAATAAATAATGATTCAGCTCTAACTTTCAATTTTGTCCTTATTAAGTTGCTCAATCAGGTGTTGAAGCCAATAGAATTTGCTTTTCCTCTGCTGGAAGGCTATTTTGAGTGCAGCATGACTGCAGAACAGCCACTTATTAGCTGCTCAGCAGTGCTCTCTGCTTTTCTGCTACAATCCCCCGCAATTGCTCAAACAACACTTTTGCCAATACTCATCTAGCTCAATCAGTAGCTATAATGCTGGAGTATGAAATTATGTGGTGGTTGCAATGGTGGGTAAGTTGCCTGCTGTTTAACATCTCTGTTTCATGGCCTGGTATCGGCAGGGATGCAATGCTGATTTTCAGCTCCAGTTTGTATTTAATTGTTTCTCTCTTCGGTCTATCCAATCGAATTCCCTCATAGATTCCATGCAGTATTCATCCTGGCTGAAATTCCTGGGTGGTGTTACTGTGTGCTGTTACAGAGTTGCCATGTCATGATGAGGGATGTAATCTTTCTGCATCCCAACTGGACTGCGAGGATTAATTAAAGTTTGCAGTGTACTGTGAGTACCTTGCATGCTATTGAAATGAAAATTATTGTTTGTTACAGCCAGTCTGAATGCCATCTGGGATTTCCATGTTACTGTTTCAGCTCTCTTGTGCATCACCAAGCTTGAGTTGGTACCATAAATTGAAGATTAGCATTGCACTCTGTTGTGTGTTCAGTGCTATGTCCAGCACCTGTATAAGACCACATACATCCCGAGAAGCTGCTCTTGGCATGCTAGGACTCCAAGGTCTTTTCTGTAGCATGAAGCCTGAAACATCCCTTTCCTTTTTCTGCACTTTCACTCCAGCATGGGCTCTATCCACAGAGCAGTGGATCCCTTTGGCCTTTTTCACTCTTACCCTTGCCTGCCATTAACTTCAAGTCAGCTTTGGGAGACTGCATAAGAAATTACCTTGAAATTGGGCTCTGCATTTTGCAAAACATGCTGTTTCTCTTTGTCATGTTAAATCCTATGAGGACACGGCGAAAAGGGCTGACCTTGCCTGAGAACCAAGCCAGGGATGTAAAGCAATGCAGAGCCATCCCACAATATACTTGCATGCTTGTAACACCTACAAAACTTAACACTGTTTTGCTAGGTGACTTCTGCAATTTCTGCAGTGCCAGGTGCATATCTGTGAACTAAAAAATTACAGCCATGATTTGTTACTCTGCTTTTATGTATCAGCTTTAGTTCAGCTAAGAGTGCATTTTAAAACACATCCCTGTGACTTCACTGTCTTTGTAAGCCACAATAAACAAACAGGGTTCAAATGACTGTGGGAACTCCCCCAGTATTATGACAGATACTCATTATTGACAGAAAAAAAATGCATAAAATGGAACCACCCAATTCACTTGTGAGCTATCCCTGGGAAAGAGATCAGCTAAGAGTTTGAAGTTCACATTCTAACTGCAGGATTCTATTATCTTACCTAAATAAACTGAGAGGCTTGAACATCCTAAAAGGGCACTATTTTTACAGAGGTACAACTGTAGTCTTCTCACCACACTAATCACTGCTGTTTACATTTTTGTAGATCTGACAGACTTCAGTTTTAGACCCCTATGCTGAGTGCTAAATAAATACCTATCACAACTTAGACACTATCCCACTGAGCATCACGTTCCCTCACTCTCCCCACAGCATCAGTCTCCTCAGCCTTCGATGCGTCCCTTCTGGTTTTGGGGACAAGCACAAAATCAATTTGGCATGAATTCTGCTGTAACTGCTTTTCAGTGAGGACAGCGTCATGTGCATTTCTCTCCCTCTCCCTTCCCCCCCCACCCCCCCCCACCCCCCATGAGACATTAGTTTCTGCTTTTATGAGGAAAAGCACAGGTGCTTTCAGATTCTGAAGGCAGACAGAATGATACTTATTTGATAATTTTCAAGCAACCACGCTATGTGGACGTATATTTGTTTGTCTCTACCCATCTCCAACCTGCTGTCCAATTTCAATTCATTTTTATTCAGGGATATTAAGCTCTTAGAAAATTCATAAAAACAAGCAACTGATTACAGAAAATAAACAGCATTAGTGAGCCTTCCAGGCAAAGGTTTCAGCAAAGGTAATACTCATCTGTGGCATTTGGCCTGGATAATGGGGAAACAGCATGGAGAACTCAGAAACATGTGTTCCCAGCTAGTACCTGGGAGCAAGGAAATAAGGTTATAAAAAATATGAACAGAAAGCTCCAGGAGAAATTTCAAGGAATATGTGGCTTCTGACAAATCTACAGGAAGCAAAGTCAAATAGAAAAACATAGGAGATTACCAGAGCATCAAAGCAAAAGAGAGGATGGAGAGGATATGCAAAAGGGGCAGAAGCATTTAAGAATGAACAAATGGGGCAAGGGGAAAAAGGAGAAAATCGGGATAGGGGAAATTCTGGGAGGGACAGGTAAAGAACTGGGGAGAACAGAGAAGAGACTGGGAATCAGAATGAATGAATGATACAAGGGAAAGTGATGTCTAAATTTTTATTACAAGATAAACACAATTTATTGTCATTATAGCTTCTTTAATTACCTTTCAACCTTTTTTTAATGATGCCCATATGTTGCAAATAACAGGGGTTTATGACTTTTGTTCTCTCACCTTTCCCATGGCTTACATTCCCACTTTAATTGCTACAGATGCTCCGCCTAATGTTTTTGCAGCAGTGGTTCCTACTCGTGGTGATGCCGCATTTAGGGAAACGAAACGACTTGTCCCTCCCGGTCGAAGGTTACTTGCTGTTCTGGTGGATGTCCACCAGATGGCAAAGCCGGCATTTTTGTGGAGTTTCCAGGACACCTTCAAATATTTTACCCTGGAGAGAGTGGGGGCTTGTTTAACAACAAATCCTTTACGGCATAGATTAAAAATAAACGATAAGGTGCCATGTGGATTTCCTGGGAATAACAATAAAACAGGAAAATAAAAAATGCAGTTAGACAATGGGAGTGCTGTCAGGAAGGCACAACATTCACTCTAGTCACCATGTGTTTCTGCATGAGGAAAACAAATCTCAAGAATCTCTGTTAATGTTACCACTTTTCTGTGTTGATAGAAATTTTATAGGGTCAATAATGTTTTCTGATGTCTGATCTCTTTGAAATTGTTGTGACTAGACCAGGTCTTAGAATGAAATCCACAGTAAGTGAAACAAACTTCCCAGTTTACATGGTTATACAAATAAGAATAGCAATGAGACTTCTTAACACTCTTCCCTCTAACCTGGCCCGATGATGTAAAGATTGTAGTGATGGAGATAAGCACTGATCTTCTTACATTACCTCTATGGCATTCTCTTACTGTTTTAACCATATTGGCTCAGGAAACATGTATCACTTAATCATTGAAACTCTGTTGCACATATATAAGGAAATTGAATTTTCTGAAAGAGGCCACATCAGGATAGCATCTTTTATAAACTAATGTAACTGTATTAGTACGGAAGCCTTGTGCAGATAGCCATGTATCTGACATTATGAAGTGCTGGATGTTCTTAATCACTTAGCTTAATTTACATTGCATCATTACATCGCCCCTTCATGTAGAGCACTATCTCTGCTGAAAGGCGTATACAGGAGGCAATGAAAAAATCTAAGCCCTTTAGCATCCTCCAAGAAACTTAACCCCTTCTCCCTACAAAATAGCCAACTCTATGTCAACAGTTTATAGCCTTAAACAAAAAACCTAAAAAACTAAAAAAAGGGTGGTTTTTTTTTTATATAAATAAAAAAAAAAAAATCAATGTCTTTTGAGGTTTGATTTCTTGTCTAGTGGCAGGAAGAACGGAAGGGTGATTTGCTGCTTTAATGGTTTTGTAGGTTGACCTGAGTTCTGCTTACAGCAGCGGAACTGTTGATAGGGGTAAGAAAATGTCACAGCTTTTCAGCTGGCTGGTTGACTTTCAGCTGGCATCAACTCTATTCATTCAATGGGTCCCAATCAATTATATCCTGTAGTACTCATTTTCCTGAGTATCAAGACACATGGAAAAAGATGAGGCTGTTCCCACTGCAAGGAGTTAGGGTAGCATGGAAAGAAAAAAAAAAGCTGGTGCTATATTTGGAGCATTCCTAATTGCACTGTTCTATTTCCAGCTGCCAAAATCTGCGTTAGAATTTTAATTAAGGGCTAAATTAGTGCAGCAAATCGTAACAACAGGAAACAGCTATGTTAAATAGGCTTTGAAATGATCAGATTTTCTCTCTCAAGAGTATCACTCGGATGAACATTAAAGCTGCTTTTGTTCATCTGGACAGGGCTGCACTTGCTCAGCAAGCTGAAGGAGGTCAGAGTCTCCACTTTGGAAAACCACTAACAACAGGCCAGCTGTCCAGAGGCCAGGCCGGAGAAGGCAGAGAGCCATTCCTTACACACATGGCATTCTCTGGCAGAAAATTTAGTAGGAAGCGCTGCACAAACTGCTAAGCACAACCTCTCACACCTCTTCCTTCGGCAAGATGAGGTCGACTTCCCCAAAGCCGGCGGAGAAAGCTCCCTCCCACCATAAGATGGCGGACCCACCGCCTATGACTCTTCGCAGCATCCCCTAGCGACAACAGAACCCCCGCAGTACTCCTTCCCGTCACGGCGCCTGCAGAGCAGCACACCGCACGCGCAGAAGTGGCTCCGCGCGTCCCGCTCCCTCCCCTCCCAGTGAGTCCTTAGGCGCATGCGTAAAGGGGGGAGGGGGGAGAGAGGGGTGGTGGTCCGGTTCCGGTTCCGGTCCCGGTCCCAGTCCCAGTCCCAGTCCCGCTTCCCTCAGCGCATGCGCACGGCTCGGCTCTGGAAGGCGCCAGAAGGGGCGGGGGAGGAATGTGCTGCTGCAGGCGCGGCCGGCGCTGGGGGCGGGGTTGTGGTCAGCTGACTCGCGAGCGTCGCGCTGGGTGACGGCTGGCGGTAGCCGCCGGAGCGGTAACGGTAGCGGTAGAAGCTGTGGTAGTGGCGGCGGTCTGGCGGGGCGCAACGAAGAATCTGGGCCCGAGGAAGGCGCCATGGCGACCACAGTCACTACTCAGCGCGGCCCGGTGAGTGTAGCCGCAGGGGCCTCTGGAGGCTGTTGTTAGTTCGTGCCCCTGCAACGCAGTGGGTGGTGGGGCCGGCCGGGACCCTTCTGGGCTTCGTCTTCTGTCCCTTTCCCCCTCGGCCTGGCTCCTGCTAGTGCGCCTTGGCGCGAGGGTGACTCACCTTTCTTGGCTGTCTCCCTTCCCCCGCTCACGGCCCGTGGCAGAGGGAGAGGGGAAGGCAAAGACCTCTTTTCTCCAGGCTGCCGTGGTGCGGGGAGGGGCCAAGGGAAGGAAAACCTGTCTCCCCGTTCTCCGCTTTGCGAAAAGGCTTTGAGAAAGGGGAGGGCAGAGCAGAGCCCCTCCTAGCTGCGTGTAGGACTTGAAGAGGCTGTTCTCCCCATTCTTTGTCTAAGGGCCTTCCAGAGGGGCGAACGGCTTAAATTAAATCAAAGCTTCCTTCTCTTTGGAGTAGGGCTCTCTGTTTTCGTGGTTCGGCTGGCGGATTCAGGTAGCTGTCTCTGGAATTGTCACCTGAAAGCTGAAACGTGAAACGTGCCGGAAGGCATATTCAGACATGTTTGTTACGGGTTGTGGAGCTAAGCAGCCTTAAAACCACATTAACAATCTTCTGGAGTTAGCGTAGGTAGTTTATTGGGAATATGTTGTTGTCTAGTTTTGCCCTAGAATAATCTCTCCCAACACTGGGATGTTCTGTTGTGTGGTGTGTAACTGCGTTGTAACATCCAGTCTCTGCTGCCCTGTTCCTCCTGTCTGGAAGTACCAGGCGGTAACTGATGATGTATCGTTGCTCTTGCAGTTCAAACTCCTGTATTTTATTTCCTAGAAGCAGCTGCTTTTGTGTGTGTTTGTGTGTGTGTCTATGAAGCCTTGATGAAAGATCAGAGGAGTGAATTATTAAATTACTAAACTTGAAAAACTGCATCACTGTCTACTGCTATCTCATGACATCAGTATTACACGATCATTAATTTAAGTCCTTAAAATGCCTTATATTTTGGTCTCCCAAAATAGATTCCTTTTACAACGGATTGTACTGGTGTTTCTCTTGTTGGAATAAAAGGTGGTTTGTTTGTTGTTGTTTGTTTTTTTTTGTCCTCTCTTGATGGTATCATGAAAAGACAAGGACTGCTGTTCTGGTTGAATCTGTGGTGAATTAGGTAGCTGCTATCTCCAAAGGCTTTGTGTGTGGGAGCTAATGGTGATCACACCAATCATGCACAAGAATAGAATTCTGTGACTATGTAAAAGCTTTTGCTCAGAAAAGCTCGATATAAATACCTGAAAATATAGACTTTGTTTAAAAGTAACTTAATTTCTAGTTATCCTTCAGTTTGTTTGGGAAAGGTTGGGGAGATTGAAGGAACTGATGGGGAAGTAGGGATAAAAGAAATAATTTTTGCTAAATCTGAACAGTAGGCCCAAGTGCAGTCCTGATTTGCAGAGGTGAAACTCTGCAGATATTTCTCTGGAATGGACTGGCATTTATTTTTGTTTTACTTGCATGTGGTGATAAACACCTTATTTTGGTAGTGAGTGGAGTACTTCCAATGTCTGCTTGTTTTAGCCTGGTGAAATCCTCTTCCTGGGTTGAGACAAGATTTTAGTGAAAACTCCTTGAACATGGCTATAATTCTGCAGATGCTTGAATATCATAGCTGCCTAGTCATAAAACTTAAAGGAACTGCATCTCGATGGCTTAGAATGTTATTCTTCTGTATGTCTTATTTTAGAATTACTCAGGTGCTCCTGTATAATTCCTGACAATCTTTAGTTATTTAAAATTGATTTAAGCCTGACATATTGAAAAGTGTGTGATGATTTATCTTGTACAACTTTGGCTTTCTGTTCTGTTTTTCTTTTTCTGTGTTCCTAACATATTGCACATGCTTTTCTTCCTTGTTTTAACCACTTTAAAGATTTGAATGTTTTTAAATGAATGAATAAATTGCATAATATTAAGCTGCCATTCACAGGGGAGGATGTTGGGATGGTACATGCCAGCCTTTCTTAATTCTCTCTAGAGCAGGAGATGGAAATCTACTTATTTATACATACACAGCTGTACTACAAGTGAATAGCCACTAAATGGTGCTGAAGGACTGGGAAACATTTTCTCTGCTGCTGCAGAGACATGATCTGTCTCTGAACAGGCAAGAAAATATTCCAGGTTGTTTCATGCAGGTGAGAAAATGAAATATGCTACTATATGGTTGCCAGTCTTGTTCTTATACCTGTGCTTTCTAGTTTGTGACAATAAGCTTATTTGGTGGGTAATTAAATTTTCTGATGGCTGTTTAGTTTTTCAGATGAAACAGAGCTGGAATTCATCCTGTCTATTACTGGTAAATATCCTGTTAAAACATAATTTCTCTGGCTGTTTTCATGATGTTCTGGCATGAGCATGTTTTCACATCTTGTGATCTTTCAAGAACAGAACAGCTTTTGAAATCTAAACTACAGCTGAATAGCTAAGGGCTGCTACATGATACCTTTTCCAAATGAGAGGTATTAATAAACAGTTTGATCAGGCTCCAGGTTAAGTCTGAGACACCAAAACCTTACAAGTGTGTATTTATAAATTTATATCTGCTTGGCTACCTGAGGAATCAATCTCTGTGTTTATTCACCCCGCTGGCAAATATATCAGGTCCTCCAAAACAGATCAAGCACCAAACTAGGACTACTTAAATTTCTGCTGCTAATTTCAGTAATAGTAATTGTTATGATGATTTGGTATCTTCTAGTAGGCAGGCTTTATTTATGATTGCTTTTCTTGTCCTAATACTGTCATTTATTTATGCTTCTGATTTTACTTGAAGTTTTGTCTTGAGAGTCTTCAGAACTTTTACCTTTTTCAGAACAAAGGTGACAAAGAAGCAATTCCTGTTTGTGTTGTCCAGTATTGATGTATGTTATGCTGTTACATGAGCAATTTTGAAATCAAAGTTGATCACCAAAAAATTTGTGTTGATAATTCTGGGTATAATTGAATATTTTATTAAATATTTTGTTTCATGTTAGGGTGTGGATGTATGTAATTTTCAAATCCTGATCTGTGAAGGTGGAAAATTAATAAAGATGCATTGCTGCAATCAATTTGGATTTCAGAAATTGTTTAAAAAGCTAAGGGAGAAAGACCTCATTGAGTGTTTCTAAGCAAAATGTTAAGCAATTTTTAAGTGATGTGATCAGATCCCTGGCACGTGTTCCTTTGACAGAAAATGTTGAGGGCAGCTTTGAAACTTTCTCACAGATAAGAGTGCCTTAAGGCACTAAGTGACTTATTTTCTGTTGCTTCCAGTGACATTTTTGTTTAACCAAGACTTGGAGGAAAGATCTGTATTGCTCAATCTAGTGGCAGAGTAGAAAAATTCAGAAATCTGTTCCTAGAACTGGTAGCAGTTTTCATTCTCCTTAATTGTAATCCTAATGTGAATTTGTGGGTTTCCTTATTTTGAGGTATTTGAATGGTTTTCCCAATGTTATTCCTCTGTTACGCTGATGGCAGACCAAAGGTATGTTAGCTCAAATATGCTGTAAATGCTTCATGATTCTGAGGTGTATATAGGTGCTCATTCTCCTTAATTCCTGTTTGTATACAGTACTGTGATACTTAGTGGGAATTCAAATTATTGATTTAGTGAAGAAGGGCATCTTTTTTGATTGCAGTCAAATAGTTCATATTTCTTTTTCAGTAAAACCAAACTATTAACAGCTGTGCTTTTGCACTGTAGAATGTTTTGGAAAATATTCAAGTGTTAATGTCTTGGACAAATTTATTTGTGCTGGGAGAATTCAGAGGCAATAGCTTGTGGCAGAGTGCTTAGTCAAGCCTATAGGTGACATTCTTGGGAGGAGAAAATACTATTAAGATTGAGACTATAGAATCAGAAAACCTTTGCAGGTAGACAGATGTATGGAAGTGACAAATGAGACAGGAAAATTTCTAGTAACAGGAGAAAAATCATAAGAATGGGAGAAGTGGTGTCTAGTACCTTGCAGTCCACAACACTTTGGTGACATTAGGAAAAAGAAAATAATCCCTAAACAAAAAAACAAATCAAACAAGCAAACACCACCACCCCCCCCACCCCCCCAACATGTTACATTCTCTTATTTGTCC